TGTGATCGTCGGTGACATTATGGTACCTGTTCCTGTGGTGCACTTGTTCCGATCTCCATCGTGGATCATACCAAAACTGTAAAGGAAAACAAAAACATCGATGTCTTGTGAAGAATTGATTAAATACTTCCATTTGTGTTAGTAAATGGAAGACTTGTGGGTTTAGCTGCAATTTTCTTTTAGATATGCTACATTCAGGAATTCAAGATGTCGACAAACGAATTCTAACAACGTTTGTCCTTCGAACACGTACGCCACATTGGTTCTTAAAAATGACAGCGATAGTCAAAAGTACTTGAACAAAAATAACAAAATACGAAATTAGAATTCCTTTGTCTGCATACTGGTATTCTTTGGGAAGCTGGACTTTTGAAATGGTCCAGCGTGACTTCATGTGTAACAGCCTTTGGGAATGATGTAGCCCAAAAAGAATGTGATTTATTTTATTCTGTGTCTTAATTATTATTATTTTTTTATTTATACTAATATAAGAAAAGCATTCTAACTACCACATCGACAACAAATCGGTTCTTGGCAATGACTGAGTTAGTTATAAGTATTTGAACATAAATGACAAAATATGAACTTTGGACAGTGTATCCACAATTTTCAGTACAATACACATCACCTTATCCGAAAATTGGAAAAATGCAATAAAAAATGAATCAGACAGAACATGTCAATTCTTTTTGGTTAGTCATTTTCGTTTAGTGACATATAAACCAATTTGGGTTATTTAATGCCGAAATCTAAATATTTTGAACACAGTTTTAACTAAATATATTTTGAACGCTGTTGTATACCGTTAACTACAAATGAAATATATTATTGATCATTTTACTATAAAATGTGTTGTTGGTAATTTTACTATAAAATGTACTGCTGATAATTTTGCTATATATATATATATATATATATATATATATATATATATATATATATATATATATATATATATATATATATGCATTGTTTTGTTGGTCATTTTACTGTAAATAAATATTGTTGGTTATTTTTTTACATAAAAAACGTATTGTACTTTTACTATAAAAATGTATTTTTATACTTTCATAGTGTTTTGTTTTTGTTTGGGGGTTCACTATTTACTCATAGCTGGGACCCTAGCAGGTGCTACCATCCCGGGTCAGGGTAGAACTGGGAACACCAGCAATTAAGAGATGGTACCACGCTTCTCAAAACCTCCAATCTTCCGATCAGAAGACTTGCTGCCGGATGTAGTTTATCGTCATACCCAGGATTCGGTTCTTTTTAATCACCTGGTTGATTTTAAACTTGTAAACCAAAATTTGTATGTGGAATACAAGTGAGGATTGAACTCAATACCAGCATTTAACCAAACTAGGCTCGCTAACAATTACCCCGCAATGACACACCAATTAAAGCTTCTATACTCGTGCCAATAAATTGCGTAATCACTATATAGTAATTATATAGTAACTATAGAGTAACTATGTAATATTATATAGTAACTATATATTATCATATAGTAAATATATAATAACTGTATTTAGCATCCCGCTACCAATTCTATTAATCAATGTCAATTTTTATACAAATCTGTGCAAAAAGCGGATCACAGAGCTTATTCAGCTTCATACATATTTTCAGAAAATTTCAACTTCTGATTGGTCAGTTAATATTTAAATCATAACAACGACCTAGTTCTTGATCTGGCCAAAAAATAAATCCACCTTTAAGAGCCTGCCACGTGATTAAGTTGATTATAAATACCAGACACAAGTTCATTCTACTTCCTTGATTTATCTCGCTACAAAATGTAGTTGTGAAAAAGAAATTGCGTCTCGACCCCTTATTCACACATGCACACATACACGTACGTACGAAACTTTTCAAACTTCATTACGAACATTACATTACAAATATTCAACTACAAGAAATGGAAACTTAATTACAAACATTACAGAGCATTCATTCCTTCAACTCTTCTGAAGCTAAAAGTTTACTCAACATATTCTCAGCTTTACATAATTCATCCAACTCTCTCACAGTGAATATTTTGAGCGACAAGTTCATTCAACTTTTGTGAGCTCGGATAAAAATATCTCATAAGTAAAAACTTTAATTCAATCAAAAAGGGACATACCACCAACAAAAATAGTATCCCCTATGCTTGTGTACATCATACAAATATAAATATTGTTGTTGTTATAAAACCGTTTTGTGTTCCTTGTTTCTCTTGTTGCTTTTGCGTTTGCTTACACATTCGTAAAGTAAAAAAATGTACGCGTTGATTTAGGCCGTCAGTACCGCTACAATATATTAATTATGAGGGAAAAGATTTATTCCTTAATAAAAACGTATATTAATACTACATTACTTTAGGCTGATTGATATAGCATGCCAAATTTTGCATATTTAATGTCAGTGTGTGTATAGAGCACCCGGTGTGGATCTAATTCACTATTCAGTAGTAATGATAGGCTGGTTGATTTTATAAAATGTTTGTCATTATTGGGTTATTTAATATCAGATTTTGTATGGGGCACGCAGTGAGGATCAAACTTACTAGTAAAGGTCAATCAAACTACCCATTACCTCACGCTGAGGCATATCAATATGAATGTATCAACCCTTGTTAGGTCAATTAAAATCGAATTTTCTATGGGGCGCCTAGTGAGGATCGGACTCAGTAGTAATAGTCAAACAGACTACGCTCGTTGGCCATTACCCCACGCCGAGACATATTAATATGGTTAGAGCGTATTGCATCATTGCATTCTTATTGTATCATTTAACTTTTAATTTTTAATGTGGCACCTAGTGAGGATCGAGCTCAGTGTTATTGGTCAGTCAGATTAGCTTCGTTAGCCATTAGATCACGTCGAGGCACTGTTGGGAGGGCTGTATCCGAAACACATATAAAGGTTCTATTTTCAACTTGGGGTTGTTGATAAACTGATAAGATTCGGTAAAGTAGCGTAACTGGCACCCCAGGGCCCCGTCAAAATGTAAGCAATTATTGAAAACAGTGGGTGGAGTAATTATCACCAGTTACGTAGGCAGGAATTCTGCTGATAATGCAAAAGTTTATATCAATGCACAAGGAGCATGTCACGTGACGAGAAATAACAGCTTATTGCCAACAACAGTGTTAATGGTCGGGTTTTCAAGCTCAGGCAGAAACCAGAAGACTGAAAGCTGATTCTCAAGGAAGACAAACCATTCTCATTCAGAAGGTTGCTGCAAGAAAATCTTTCGATATCCATTTACCTCTCTTTGGATCTGTACCAGATTAAACAAACAAGAAGCAAGCACTTACACGTGCAAGTATGTTTGTCGTACTGGTTCATATATATATATATATATATATATATATATATATATATATATATATATATATATATATATATATATATATATATATATATATATATATTATAAAATGGACAAAGTCCGACAATGATTTTAAGACATTTTTATGTTTATACATTCTTTTTAAGGATACAAATAGATAGTAAAATCGACCATGCTAACCGATCCTCTGTGGCCCAATCTGTTAAGTCACGTCAGGCTATATGACGGTTCCGTATAGGATACGGGTTCGATTCCTGTCGGAGGACGAATATTTTCATTCAGGCCGGTAAATGTTGTTTAATACTGTTTATTATATACAGAGCATTTACTTAAGTATTTGTACCTATGAAAAGAATGTATAAAAATGTCTTAATATATATGTAAGAAATATAGTCTTAAAGTGTGCTATATTTATGCGATGAATTTCTCAATATCAGAGATAGAGCGAGTGTAAATATAAAAGTCAACACTTAGAGGCGACAGTCTGTTTCATACTAGATGCAATCGTAAGTGTTGACTTCAATGTTCACTTATATATATATATATATATATATATATATATATATAAAGACATACATATCAGTCTATTCACATCTATTTATCTATCTCAGGCCATTCATACCTATCTAACCATCTATCTATCTATTTGATAGCTTTCACATTCTAGAATAAAGCCAATACTTTCGGAATCAGTTCCTCCGTGAGCAGCACGGGTTTGAATTTCCACGTCGGCAAGTGACATACACTTCCACCCCAAAAATCTATCTATCTATCTATCTATCTATCTATCTATCTATCTATCTATCTAACACGATATCACAAGTCATCGTGACCGAGGGTTTGAGTGTGATGGCGTTGTTCAGATTATTGATTATTCTAGATAATACGCCCTCTCCCAGAATCTGTAACAAAGGTCTGCTCAGCATAGTTGCAGTATAAACCACGGGTTGGCTCTGTGGGTTGAACAAACACAATTGTGCCTGAGCGAGAGTCTGCAATAGGGATTGGCTAGCCGTCCAAATAGACAGGATATATATATATATCCTGTCTATTTGAACAACATATATATATATATATATATATATATATATAGACATGGTCTGTTCATTTTTCCAACTTCCGACTAAGTTGTTTTATACAATTGGTATACTTACCAAAGTTCAATTTTGTTTTTTCTTTTAATGTTGCTAGGGTCGCGTCATGAAGAATTGTTCTATTTAATCTGTTTCTGAACCTGTGTTTGGTTAATTCCTGTGTTCCGATGTTTGCTGGAACTAATTTCAAGTCAATCAAAGGAGGAGATCAAGTTTTAGGGAGAATGGGAGCTACACAAACGGCTCTCGGCAACAGGAAAAAACCCTGAAATTTCGGAAATGCATACTGAGGAAAGAAGACTTGGAGAATTTAACACCCACAGGACAGATCGAATGCTAGAGAAGCAGAATAAAGCCAGTTGATAACGGAATAGGTACCAGAAAAAGAAAGGGTTCGTAAAGACGCAGATATTGCCGGAAGGAGAAAATTAAATGGAAACTGTGGAGGGCTATAACCGCTTACGCCCTGAAAGTAATTGACAGGAAGAGAGAGAGTGAGTGAAGGGGAGAGTGAGAGAAAAAAGAGAGAGAAAGAGAAGGCGAGTGTGAGAATGAGAGTGTGAGCAAGAGTCAGAGAGAAAGTGTGTGTGTTTGTGACAGAGAGAGAGAGAGAGAGAGTGAAGGTGAGAGTGAGAGAGAGAACGAGAGTGAGAATGTGAGAGAGTGAGAGTGAGCGCAAGAGAGAGAGAGAGAGCGAGAGCAAGAGAGAGAGAGAAAAAGAGAGAGAAAGAGAAAGCGAGTGTAAGAGTGAGAGAAAGAGCCAGAGAGAGAGTGTGTGTGTGTGAGAGAGAGAGAGAGAGAGTGAAGGTGAGATTGAGAGAAAGAGAGAGAGAACGAGAGTGAGAATGTGAGAGAGAGTGAGAGTGAACGCATGAGAGAGAGAGAGAGAGAGAGAGAGAGCGATAGCAAGAGAGAGAAAAAAGAGAAAGCGAGTGTGAGAGTGAGAGAGCAAGAGCCCGAGAAAAAGTGTGTGTATATGAGAGAGAGAGAGAGAGAGAGAGAGAGAGAGAGAGAGAGAGAGAGAGAGAGAGAGAGAGAGAAAAAAGTTAAAAAAATAGGGCATTTATTAAAGACTGAACTTAACGGTCCAGAGAAATTGAATTTCTAACCGTGACTCTCCGGCAAGTAATCCTAATTAAGAGAAAAACATATTTAGGTAAAATTAAAACAAACATGAAAAGATTGAGATAAATAGATATTTCCTTCTTTTTTTTTTTTGAGTTTACCATGATTTTATTTTATACGTGTGTGTGAGGGGGTGGGGAGTCGTATATCCCTTAACCCAATCAAAGAACCTCACCCTACAAGTGCTTTATAACCCCTTAGCTAGCATGTACTGTTTATCCCATTAGCCAAATTCGAACATTACTTTTCATGGCGATAAAGCAGGTTGCGTCTGTCTTTATGCTAAATCGAACCCCCAAAATATGAACCCCATATTTTAGGGGTCAGCCTTCCTGTCTGCCTGGGGAAATTATCTTACATGCTGAGATCAAAAGAATAGGCGATATCTTTCCTACTTTTTCCTCTTACTACAGATGGTGAGCAGTAAAAATAAATAAGAAAAGAAAACATTGTCGGGTCTTAGCTAATTTCCCCGTATCAATTCATGTCCGTGCTGAATCATGTATTTTGTATTTAGTTCTATACACTACTTCCTGCCGTATCACGTTGAAATATCGGTTCTCGTACTATCACCGAAGTTAAGCAACATTGAGCTTGCTCATTGCTCAGACGGGTGATCGCTGAGGAACACCAGGTGCTGTAAACTACGCAACAGGCCTGGCAAGCCAGCGATCGGTATAATCTCGTGACTTATGCTAAAGGAAGACCTCGATATGAGGATGGGCTTTTGGACTCACAGGTAGCAAGACCTATCTGTAGCATGATGTGTGTTATATAGACTACGACACAAACTCGCTACTTCTAAATAAATAAACGGTAAATTAAGTCTATCCGTGTGGCTGAAAATCCTCTAACTCGAGCCACACTTGCTCTACATAGACATATCATAAATTTTTGGAGTCAGGATGATTCCGGGATTGAAAATCTTCCCTTCATTTAGTGCTTGAACATACAGCATTGGGATTTGTGTCTGGATGAGGAAGGAACAGTTAAAAATTCAAATTCTTTCTATCTATCGTTTCTTTCATATTTCTATCTATCTCTTTTCTAAAAAAGAAACGCCAAATTCTATCTGCCCGTTCGTGTGGCCGAAAACCCTTCTAACTCTGGCCACACTTGCTCTACATAGACATACAGTGCTGTTCGATAAAAGTGACTCACCTGATTTTCTTTTACTAAATGTTCTCTTCTCCAATGAAACGAAAGTTGAGCTAAATTCAAAAGATAAGCGATCTAAAACCCGAAGAAGCTTTGAAAGCTCTTTGAATTTAGCAGTAAGTACTGTCAAGCATCCGTTCAGTATAATGTTCTGGGGATGCTTTTCTTTTCATGGAACTGGTTTCTTAAAACCTATTGAAAAGACCCTCAGGAGCGAGCAATACAAGAGAATTTTAGAATCGCGTCTGCTCCCTTCTGCTGAAAGGGTGCAAATCGACCCCACCAAGCTCATTTTTATGCAGGATAATGCTCCCTGTCACAAATCAAAATTGATTACGGAATACTTTGATGAGAAGCAGGTGAGTGTTATGACATGGCCGCCCCCAATCTCCTGACTTCAACTCCATAGAAAACTTATGGAGCATGTTGCTCAACTGCTTTCTCGAGAGCCTGTACTTTATAATGCTCCATAAGTTTTCTATGGGTTGAGGTCAACATCTGCGTTGTACATATTTGAGGATGGATCAAGCGATATCATTTCTCGAAATTGAATCGCTACCATCACACACACACACACACACACACACACACACACACACACACACACACACACACACACACACATATATATATATATATATATCAGTCTATTCACCTATCTCGGACCATTCATACCTATCTAACCATCTATCTATCTATTTGATAGCTTTCACATTCTAGAATAAAGCCAATACTTTCGGAATCAGTTCCTCCGTGAGCAGCACGGGTTTGAATTACCACGTCGGCAAGTGACATACACTTCCACCCCCAACATCTATCTATCTATCTATCTATCTATCTATCTATCTATCTCAGTATATATTGGTATGTTGTGTTTTGTTTTACGGCATCAACCTCAATGGGTTATTTAATGCCGACAAAATTTTCATTGTTGGCAATATTTTTTTGCCAAAAATCTATTTCTGGTAATATTTTTTCTGTCAAAAATCTATTTCTGGTAAGAATTTTTCTTCGCTGGCAATATTTTTTTCAAAAAATGTATTACTGGTAATATTTGTTTTTCAAAAATGTATTGCTGGCAATATTTTTTTTTACAAAGTATTTCTGGTATTAAAACCTATTTTTACATTTTCATAGTGTTTTGACTCCTGTTTGGGGGTTAACTATTTGGCCATAGCTGGGACTCTGACAGGTACTACTACGCCTGGTCAGGGTGGACCTGGGAACACCAGCAATTAAGAGGTGGTTTCACGCTCCTCAAAACCTGATCAGAGGCCTTGCCGTCGGATGTAGTTTATCGTCATACCCAAGATGCGTATGTCATCATCATCTTGCGGCCTCATCCGAGATTGAACTCATCAATACTTTGATTGGTGTAGTTCATAATCTTGTCAAATAGCTGAATTCTTGATGCATCGCTAGGGCTATCAAGGGTGTCTTTATCGTGACACCAACACTAAATAGATTGCCAACCAAGGCTCAGAGAGAATCCATTCACCCTCCTCTAAGAGCAGGTTTGAATTCAGAGTTTTCCTTCTCCGAGACCAGTTGCCATCCAAGGCTATAGAACCCAGTCTCTCCTGATATTTACCCATAGATGGTATGAGTATGTAGTTTATCGTCATACCCAGGATGAGGGCTAATGTTTGGTGAATCATATCGACTGATACTATCTCACAAAACCTACCTGGAGTTTGGTGAGTGTTATAAAGACTAAAATAAACTTTCGCTATTTATACTAAAAGAAGACCTCCATATGGGGTGGTGCTTCCGGAAACACAGTTCGCAAGAACTTCCTGGAGTTTGGTGAGAGTCATATAGACTAAATTACATTGATTGATTGATTTATTACGGCTTATCAACCTTTTGCAGGTTATATAAAATTGGAAAACATTTTTAGATAGTAATAATTTTAGAGAGATAATCATGATTTGCTGATACAAGCCCTACTAATTAACCCATAGATGGGGAGAAAAAGTAGTTTTATAATTTAACCAAGGGTTTTTTTTTTCTCCGAGAATATAACGAAATGAATATAACGAAGCCAACTGGGATTAGAACTCGGCTCTCCTATTTCTAATTCCAAGCCGTTGTCCATTACACCATCCGCACATTCAAGATGATAGAACCAGTATTCCCTAGCGTTTACCCATTTAGGTGCTGATCAGGGCGTCCTGGGTATGACGATAAACTACATCCGACAGCAAGGCCTTGGCCTTTGATAAGGAGGTTTTGATGAGCATGGAACCACCTCTTAATTGCTGGTGTTCCCAGGTCCACCCTTACCTGGGTGGTGGCACCTGTCAGGGTCCCAGCTATGGGCAAATAGTTAACACCGCAAATGGGTTCAAAACACTATGAAAGTATAAAAATAGGTATAATACCAGCAATACATTTTTTGAAATTTTTTACCAGCAATACATTTTTGAAAAAAATATTACCAGTAATATATTTTTTGAAAAAAAAAAATTACCAACAATACATTTTTGAAAAAAATTACTACCACCAATAAAAATCTTGTCGGCATTAAATAACCTATTGAGGTTGATATGCTATAAACCAAACCAATCCAAAACTGATCCGACTCGACGTTGCTTAACTTCAGTGATCGTATGAGAACGTGATATGGCCGTAAACCTTAAAATACAATCTCGCTATTTATAATAATAGAAGACCTCAATACGAAAAGGTGCTTCCAGATTTTACAGTTCTCAAGACCTATTTGGAGTTTGGTGAGAGTCATATAGACTAAGCACATTAGAAAAGGGGTGCTGAAAGGTAAATTGCAAGTATTTTTGTTATGACGTTACGCCGCAATTAATTATCTCACACTAACTCCATTTGAATTTTATCGAAGATAGGTTATAATGCTGCAATAAGGCAATATATATATATATATATATATATATATATATATATATATATATATATATATATTCAGTTGTATGGATAAAAAGTGTATATCTTTTTGAAAAAATAAATCAGTTTGTCTGATGATCGCAAAAGCGTGAAAGCCAGGATTACAAACTAATATCCATACAACTGAATATGTTAGCTCTATCACAGATATTGAGCACTTTTCACAATGTACCGCATAATATATATATATATATATATATATATATATATATATATATATATATATATATATATATAGCTTAATGAGAAGCCACGTATACTTTCTTAATATGTATATATAGAAAAAGTTTCAAATTGAAAATTATAATGTTTTATTTTATGAAAGTATTTATTTATTTATATATATATTTGATATTTCAAATTGTCCTCAATTTTTCATCAGAAATAACTGTTTTATTTACAAATAAATTAAAATTACTGTTTGTTAGCAAGTAGCGTACTTCATGAAACGCGGACGTCACGTGATATGGAACGTCACTGTTCGGATATTCCTAACTTAAATGTAACTGTCATAAATATTTAAAACAATTTTTTACTATATCTCTAAAAAAAAAAAAAATTGCTTAACTATTGAAATATTTATAAAGATTTAAAACACCTAAGTCCCTATTCAACCCTAGTTTATGTGTATTTAATTTTAAAATCCAATATGTTTTCTTTTTTCTGCGTGTGAATGTGGAAGTAAAATCGGAATCTATCAATAAACATTTGCAGTTTTTTAATGTGTGTCCTGATTGATTGTAGTGTTTAGCTATGGGGAATAAGGGTTGTTTTGACGTATTGTTTGTTTATGGTTATTAAAACGAAATCTAAAATTGTTTCCAGACTCACCAATATATCCACTATTAGGACATAAGTTGCAGAATAAATAATAGATTACGTTATGGGTATCGCAGGTGAGGTTAGGTGGCTGTATCCTGATATTGGTGTTAGGTACGGAAAATGTATTAGCTATTATTAAATGTTTGCAAACTAAGCAACGAGGTTTGTTACATTTGTAATTTCCTGTTTGGCTTCTATTGTTTAGATATTTGGTAGAGGTGAGGATAGCTGATAAGTTTGGTGAATGTTTCATTGCATTTATGGGTGGTTTATCGAAAATGTCTTTGATCTTGTTGTCTAATTGGAGGTTCTTGTAATCATTTTTTAAATTGTGAATAAGTGTGTGGGAATATTGATTGTGGTTAAAAACCATGGGAATCCGATTGTTGTTTTTATTTTTCTTGTATGTGAGAAGTGTGTTACGATTTATCAGGATAGTTTTATTTAGTGCTTCTTTTATTATTTTTATTGGGTATTTGCATTTTAGGAATTGTTTTGTTAAGTTATTAATGTTGTATAGAAAATCTAAATGGTCTGAGTATATGCATATC